TATAAACTTCGTCAAGGAGAAGTTGCGGCAACAAATTTTAAGACATCTTGAGAGACGAGAACAAACCACAAGGTTCTGGTGGCAGTTCTGCAGAATTCCTTAAAAATAAATAAATATGAAAATGAAGATCTCGGCAAAAGTAGGTAATTAGTTTTTCAAATCAACCTGAGGCCTAGTTTTCAAAAAGAGGCCTCAGGAAGATCTGGAAATTTAGGTCCATCAGTGTAACTTTGGTTCTGGACAAATTAATGGAAAAAATAATAAAGAGAAAAAAGGGATTTTGATGAGTAAACCTTATGGAAGGGAATGTAGCAAATTAGCAAAGCAAATATGTACCATATTCATCTTCCTGAGTTTCTGAAAATGCCAATAGAAATGGAAATAAGCCTGTAAACTAATATCGAATAATACAGTAGTATATTATATAGTGCAGTATATTTTGTATAGTATCTATCCTCTTGACTTTGCATAGACCATTAAAGGCTTAACTCTTCCTCTGGGTATTGGATCAGGACGTTGGGTAAGACCATCTTGTGCCTTTTATGTCAAATTGTTATTATTTAGGCACAATCATTCTGGCTTTTTAAAATCTGATTTATTTTTGTTTTGTTTATCTTTATTATTGTCGACCACCCAATGTCATATATTAAATAGACAGCCGAATGAATGAATGAATGAATGAACGAACAAACAAACAAACAAAACATTTGCCAAAGTTCAAAACTCTGGAGCAAATAACAGCTATAGAGTAAAAAGCCTGTCCATATACATAACTAGTTAAAAAGCTTTTGCCTTTTAGAGTTGCCTATCAACAGCAAGGGAATTAGCAGTCGTAAAATAGCATTGAAGATCTTGGAAAAAACATTGAGATGTGGGACTATACTATATCTACAAAGATCATACTTATGCAAGCCATGGTATTTTTTCTGAATCTTTATTGAAGCGTAGGTTATTTTTAAAAAACCACCATATTGATACTGTTGGATTTTTAGTTTTGGAAATCCTGGGACTGCCACACATACCCAAGAAAATAAATAAATGGATGATCGAACAAATCAATCCACAGTTATCATTTGAGACAGTGGCCAGGTTGAAATTATCATGTTTTGGACACATTAGTGAAAGACCTCGTCCTTTGGAAAAGCCTGGATAGAATTATTAGCAGCAATGGATACCATTGGAAGATCTGAAGGACCAGGTTGGAGGCAGATTGTCATAACAAAATGAAATCCAATGGTGAAAAAAGTAAGGTTCTACATTTAGGCAAGAAAACCCAAATGTATAGGTATAGAACAGGTGGTACCTGACTCAATAGCAGTAACTGTGAGAGGGATCTTGGAGTCCTAGTGGATAATCACTTAAATATGAACCCAGCAGTGTGCTGCAGCTGACAAAAAAGCCAACACAGTTCTAGGCTGCATTAACAGAGATATAGAATCAAGATCACATGAAATGTTAATACCACTTAATACCACCATATCACCTTGGTACCACCTTGGTAAGATCACACTTGGAATACTGCATCCATTTTTGGTCGCCATGATGTAAAAAAGATGTGGAGACTCTAGAAAGAGTGCAGAGCAACAAAAATGATTAGGGGACTGGAGGTTAAAACATATGAAGAACAGTTGCAGGAACTGGGTATGTCTAGTTTAATGAAAAGAAGGACTAGGGGAGATGTGATAGCAGTGTTCTAATATCTCAGGGCAATTGAGAAGAGGAGGTCAGGCTATTCCCCGAAGCACCTGAAGGCAAGACAAGAAGCAATGGGTGAAAATTAATCAAGGAGAGACGCAACCTAGAACTAAGGAGAAATTTCATGACAGAACAATTTAATCAGTGGAACAACTTGCCTCCAGAAGTTGTGAATGATCCAACACTGGAAGTTTTTAAAAAGAGATTGGATGACCAATCTCTGAGCAGCGGGTTGGACTAGAAGACCTCCAAGGTACCTTGAAACTCTGTTATTCTGTTATTAATAGCACATACATTGGTTAAAAATAGAAATGAATAAATGGGCAGTTTAACGGTAGTAAGAAGTGGAGTCTCAATGAACTTTTTGTGGGTGGTGTAACTTATTTATCAGTTATCTTGATTGATAGGTGAAGTAAGCACTGAGGTGGCCTTATTTGTGGATAGTACAAAATGTTCAAAATAATAAACACAAAAGAGATTGAAATTTTTCAGAAGAATATCTTTAAATTGGAAAAAAATAACCAACCAAGAATCAAAAAGCTATTTCAGTTTAAGTAGGTATAAAAACAACCCTAACTTCATTAAACCAACATTGATAGATCTGACGCTTTGAAAATAGTAATTAAAAGAAACAATTTGATGCTTTTCTTTGCTATTATGTCTGTATTAAGAGTGTGCACGTTACAAGTATTTGAGATCTTGCGCTAGTGTGGCACCTCTTATGCTGTTCATTATTGTAAGCTCTTACTTGGGCTATTGTGTAAGTTTAGAAAAAATGTTGCTGCTTTAAGGAATGCAACTGTCACACTGACAGCTGGGCAGTGGGTTTAATATTGTCTATTCTCTATATAGTAAAATAAACACAAACCTTTCAACATTAAGGTTTGCTTTTTTAAAACAAATGGAACTGCAGTGATTAAACCTTGTAACAGCAAACAGTGAAGAAGGGGTGCATGGAATCCTTCTACTTGTTCAGTATGCTTAGCCATTATCTGTTTTGTAAGGTTTGTGCAACTGTTATCAGTCAATAGTTCTAAACATACATTCAGTTTGTTTTTCTGCTTTAGATTAGATCTCCTTTAGTTTAACAATGTGTATATTTTCAAAGCTGCAAGGATGAGTTGTTGTCATTCCCCATTAATATAGAATATTTAGAATACGGTGTAGGGTAACATTGATATGTGGCTCCTTTATTCACACAACAAAATGCATAATAAAACAACATTATCATTGATAGAGCAAATAATAAAAGTATGACTGCAGATACTCCTAAATCCAATCCAACATTCTGTCACTTTATTGCCCTGGCTTCATGCTTGGCATGTTTCTCCACTTTATTATAATATTTGTCAGTTACATTTTCACAGAACCAAATTGCTAGTGCATATTGGGTACCTACATTGGCATTAGAATTAATGGCTGCTGGTAGATTAATTGTGGAATACAGCATAATGTATAATACTTACATTTATGGTTAAGCATTCATTCTGTGTTATACCTGTGCCAGGTTTTGATGCTTTACAGTATTTGCATGTACTGAAGTATTTCCAGTGAAATTAGGTTTTTGTTGAAGTAAGATTTAAGTGATCATTATTTAACTTGTAACAGTAAATTCATAGTGGATTGCCATCTAGTGGTAAAAATAGGAGTTGAATAAAAGGATTTGTCAAAACATGAGTGTGATGAATTTAATATCCATTTAATCCCTGTGAAAATGCAGGATATAGAAATACACCACCGTGTTAAAATAAAAACTGAAACTAAATATTAGAATTAAAATTAAATTATGGAGAAGGTATATTATTACTGTAACAGTGAAATGTTTTTCCCAACTTGTCGTTATTCAATATCTGAATGGGGTTGTATATAGTTATAATATGGATTTATGCATTCTTACTTATAAATGCAATTGTATTTTTGGAATTTAATCCACGTTAGGTGGGTGTACAATTGCAGCTTAAACTGCTTAAGTAGCTTGGAATAATTTGTGATTTAAATAGGCTAATAGAGTGAAAGATTGTGACTTTGCACATCTTTATTACACAAAGCATGTGAATATCCCTGTTTTTCCACTGTGTGATTTTCATCATCATTATGGTTGTATGTATCTGTGAATTTATTTATAGAAGTTATACATTGTTTTTCATTATGAAAACAATGAAATTATTGTCTATGAAAAACTGTGACTATCCTATACAATAGAATATAAACATATAAAATGATAAAGCAATAGCATTATCAAGTAATAATTAGAGCAGAGAGCAAAAAGCTAGATATAGAAAAACTTAAAAGTGCTTGGGTCATCAATCAAATTTTCAATTTAAAGTAGAAATATTTTGCAATATGTATCCATCTAATCTTCACAAGAAATTTGTTTCATGTGGGTGGATTATCAATAAACCAATTTCCACATCATAGGTAATCATGGTTTTGCCAGCAAGACATTTCTAGAATGCAAAGAGCATATAGGTATGTAGGTAAATTCTCCAATAATATGACCCAAAGCCTTGCACATGGCTTGGTATCTGATTGATGTTCACTCTTCAACGTAGAAATATTGTGTTTGATAAAAGCTCCTTGAGCAACTTAGTAATGGTGTTTTGCAATGGCTTCTTAGATGTAATCCCCATGTAAAATATGTTAAAATAATTCAGTCCTCAATTTATTAATGCATTAGTGCATTGTTTTTCAACTTTAAGATGCCGGCTGGGGAATTCTGGGAGTTGAAGTCCAGACATCTTAAAGTTGCTGAGGTTGAGAAACACTGCATTAGTGCAATAACCATTAATTCCTGATCTACCCTATCCAGGAAAGACTGCATGTATCACTCCAACTAAACCCAGTAACATGTTTTTAGCTACTGATAATTTCGCAGGTCACACCCAACTACAAACCTTCCTCCTGCAATAACCACAGTGCATAAAACTAAACTGAATATGGGAAACATTCACAGAACCTAAATCTTAGTAGGAACTAGCTTTACCAAATACCCTTTTATGGTCTGTTACTGCACACAAACATTGGCCATGAACATTCATGTTCAGTATGCAATAGAAAAGAAGAAATGCATGTTATTTTGAATGTCACACCGATGCTTCCACGTTGCTACAAATCGTCCAATGACTGCATCAAGATATAATATTAAGTACCATTGAAGATTTTTAAAAGGATTACATGTTTATAGCATTAGCATCTAGGATAAACTGCTATTATGTGTGTAACGTCGATTTTATGACCACTGTTTTTAATTCTCTGATGTGTATTGAGTACATTTTGTTATACAATTGTTTTCTTTTACATTTAAGATCCCTTCCCGGTACCACAGCAGCTGAATGTGCATCAAATTTGAAGAAGATCTACACGGTAGAAACTGTACAGGTAAAAAAACATGTGTTAAGCATGAGAATTATATAATGGAATACAAAATTATGATGATGGTCTTAGATTTTAGGAAGGAAGATTTCTTAAACCCAAAGGAGACTGTGACCCTTTTACTTGTTGTCACTGCATTAACTGCCAGTGATTGAAGAGAATTTCAGGCAGTTTCTATTTTAGCTGAAAATACTATTCAATGCAGCTGAATTTTCCTAAACAAATGGTAATTTCATATTGTTTGCTGGTATTCATAAATTAATAAAAAATATTATCCATCTAGATCTTCTGGAGCGTTTATAATAATATTCCTCCTGTGACAAACCTGCCTATGAGATGTAGTTATCATTTAATGCGTGGAGAGAGACGACCACTGTGGTACGTATTCAAATGATTGCTGTGTTTTGAGAATCTGTTGTATTTCATAGTTGGGTGGGGGAGGGAAGCAAGATAAAAGTTATTGGGAAGCAAAAGAACAGAAGAATATTAGAGACTTTTATTTACTATGTCTAATATGGTACATTGCATTAAGATGATTCGTGTTTGTCTTTCAAAACGTCATGGATTGTTCTAGTTAAAAGTTCATGTTATGCAATACAATGTTTGTCTATTGCATATATTTGAACTAAAACACACTTTGCAAAAATTTGGGTAGAACTTTACTAATTAATGCTTGCAACAATGCTGTTGAAAAGCCCAAGGTCTACTAAACTAAAATATTAGTTTACTTACTCAGAGAGACTTTTGAATTTGCAGTGATGAACTAGTTGACCCATTTTTTCATGTAATAGTTTACTGTTCTTCCCTGAAGTCCACCCTGTATCAGCAGCTTTCATTTACAAATGTATTTCTATGTCATCTGCATTCTAAATCAGAGATGAGTAGCTTGTGTAGCTTTGATATAGTGCCCCTCATCTCAGCCCCCTCCCATCATTTTAAATTTTGGCAGCAAGCAGGCAGAGTAATAGTGACATTTACTGAGTTATAGTAAAACAAGTAAAATAGTAAAATTTTATCCTGTTGTACACTGTTTTATTTTAAAAACAACCTTCCCCAAAGTGTTCCCCGATTGTAAATAGAAATGTTGGTGAAAGTCTGTAGAGATTCTCAGTCATTCAGGTCATAGTTGTCCCAAAGGTGCTTTTTTTCAGGAAGCAACTGGACTTTCTTGTTTTTTTTTCTTTTGAAGATGTTTTGCTTCTCATCCAAGAAGCTTCTTCAGCTCTGACAAGATAGTGGGGAATGAAAGGATTTATATTCCTTGCAGACATCTGGTCATTTGAATCCTTTTAGAGGGTAGTTGAAGCACTTGTAGCTTTATCTGTGTCCTCAGGGTGACCTGAGTAGTGCTCCTGGTTCCTGTACTCTGCATTTTTTCTTTCTTTCTCTGGAAATCTATTCCTACTCCCACACCATTCAAAAAGTGTTCATCTCAAATTGTATAGCTATTTGAATGTAGAAATGTTGCTGGTTATTTCAGATTGTTTAGTTAGGCCACCTAAGATCACGAAGAGAATTTCATATTTTGCCTGGAAACAAATTGGCAGCCACTAAAGTGTTTTGGATTTACAATCTTAGTGCATCTGAAAGGTTGGGGAATGTTGGATTTTGATACATACTCACAGTGCTGGTCATCTATTCAAATTCTTCTGCTGATAAATCCTACCATTCATTCTTTCTTTGACAAGGTCCGGGGAAATAGCCTTGAGTAGTTCATAAATCTCTTGGACAACGCACAAAAGATAGTGAAAATAGTAAATACATTAATCAACTGCACTTATTGATAACTGGTTGAAATCTGTATACATCACGTTCCAAACCTTGATTGTAAAGCAGAGTTTTAACTTCTTTGGCACTTATTGCACCAATTGGTTTGCCACTCATCCATTCAGTCTAATATTGAGAAATACATT